CTCCACTTAAAAATAATATGATTCCCCAGCAGAGTCGCCAGTTCTGTGATACGGTGGGAGAACTGACTTGGGATTTTGCGTTTGTGTTCGCAAATGTTTCAGTTTAGCAAGAGTCGCCACCGACTTTTTATTTTATCCTAAGGAAAGGTCAAAAAGCATAGGAAATACCTTTGAGATGTTTTCTTGGGTTCGTGGAGTAGATTATAGAAATGGAAGGTATTAGCACCCTTTCTATCCATGGTTATCCGTGGGCTCTTAGATACTTGCTTAGATCACTTGCCTTTGCTTTTCAATTGTTTGAAATGATGCTTTGTGTGTGTGGTTTTGAAAATGTTTTGAAAAAGATGCCTTGTCTAGGCAACCTTTGTAATGATTCTTGTTTGAATGTATACAAAGGTGTATGTCTTTTGAAAGGTTTTCAATGTTTTGAAAGTTGTTTTGAAATTGTTTTTGAAGTTGTGTTGTGGAGTGTGTTTTGAAAAATAGCAAGGATGCTTTGCAAGCTTTTGATCAAGTAACTAAGAGTTGTCTACCCTATTTTACTCAAAGATCTTTCTTATGTTTTTAACCCTTTTAACAGTGTTGTTTCACCATTGTGTTTGATGAACAACCTTGTGTTAGGATGTTAACGGGACAGGCGCGGGTCATCGTATGACCATGATAGCAATGTTGTGAAATGACTTAGCACTTTTTTATAGGGACTAAGATCATTTTGAAAGGCAACTTTGATAGCATCATTGAGGGACTATGATCTTTTTTCAATTCGTTTGTGCTAAGACATCCCACATGCATAACATGGCCATTTTTATAAGGCAACAAGTGGAATTACCCTAGGGGTGCACGTGTGCAAGTGTGTTTGATTGCATGCATTGTTATCTTTGATTTTTGGGTTGTCTAACTGTTGATTTTATCTTGCCATTAACACCTAATTACTAGCATTTGTACAAAGCAATAAAAATGCAGGAAATAAATATCCTATACTATTACAACCATATTGAATTGCATGAGAATATAAAGGCAAAAATAAGGTAAAAGCAAGAAAAATGAGTGTCTTTCGACCCAGGCAGTAGCACCCTTCGACTTGCATTTTGTTGGCCTCCTTCGATTGGGGGCTGGCATCAGTAAGGTCCTGTCCTTCGATTAGGAATTCGCGCCAGTGAGGTCATGGCCTTCGATTGGGTTTTGGCACCAGTCAGGTTATGTACTTCGATTGGAGGCTGGCACCAGCATGGAAGTGCCTTTCGTCTGAGCCTGGACTTAGTGCAAGTGTGCCTCTGGCTGGGCCTTTCTGCCTTGTTGCCTTCTTCGATTGGGCCTGGAATCTGTGCAAGATGCAACCTGCCTTTCTGTCTCCTTCGATTGGGTCTGGAGTCAGTGAGGAAGCCTGGGGCTTCGTTTCATACTCCTGTCTTTTGTTTATTTCGTTTGAGATATTAAATAGCAACATGGCCCAAGGCCATGCTGTCATTACCTCAGGGCCAGGTTAGTTCTTAGAGCATTTGTAACAAACCAAAGAACAAAACCAAAAGGAGAGACAATAAAAACAAACTAAAAGAGTGGAAACGAAAAGGTAACAAACACTATGCACATGTTTGAAACGAAAAGGAAGCTTATTTACATGTTACACTAGAAATGAAGGGTTCAAGGTTAAGAATGACTTACCTTGCTTGAGGCTGGAACATGTGCTGGACCTTTAAGTGGTTTCCTTGAATGCTTCTGGATTCGAAGGGAGGAACCAGGAGTTATGTCTTTTATACTGGATAAGTGTGAGGTTCTTCCTACTGGATTCAAAGGGTAACAAGGTATAGGGATGTTTCAGATTCTAAGGGGATAAGTGTTTGCTCTTTGATTTGATACAGGCAGGTCTGAGTTTTTGTTAGTTTTGATACAGGCTTGCTTGCAGTTGCAGTTGGACTGGCTTTAGGCAGGTTTGTTTGCAGTTGCAGTTGAACTGGCTTGAGTTTTCTGGCTTTGGTAAGGAAGGCAGATTTCGAGGTTATGCAGGCCTCAAGGCTTGTTGTGCCTTAGGCTTGTATTTGTAACACAGGTTTGATGTTCTGGTGTTAGGCAGGAGGATGCAATTCTGGATTTGTTGTTTGGATTCTGGGTATGTGTTTGAGTGTTTAAGTGTTTAAGTGTTTAAGTGTTTGAGAATTTTGTGGTGTATGAGAATTTTGAAGATACGTTCTCCTCTTCTTCTCCGCCCCCTTCTTTGTGCAAGTGAACTCTCTATTTATAGAGAAAGGCTTTTGGGAAGCTTGGGGAGAGAAAATAATAAAATAAGGCCCAGCTGGAAAGTGAATATCCACTTGTTCCACAAAATCAAGATGAATGGTTCAGATGGGGTTGCTTCATGCTGAAGGAAAATAGGCGCAAGGCTCAAGATAAATGAAACTGAAACCAAACACTTGCACATTCTCACTCCTAGGGTTTTGCCTCACTTGGTTGCCTCAGAAATAATGGTCGTGTCCCTCGAACGTAGGGATATCTTAGCAATGACCCGTAATTCAAAGTCGTCATAAATATCATAGTCCCTCTTTGTCCCTCGAGTTGTCTACGAGAAATGATCTTATGACGATAGTCCCTTCGAAATGCTAAGGCATCCTTACTCATTTCCTTCAGTGACCATTTTGTCCCTTTTGAATGTCCCTTAAAACTCCAACGATAGGGCTACCTACTCCTTAATAGTAGGATAATGCTGTCTAAAGGAAACGAGAATGAACAATCTTTTTTCGAGTAGGTAGAAAACTCTTAAGTACTTGCTCAAAACAAAAACTCTTTCACACAAACACTTTTCAAAACAGTTTACAAAACAACTTCGTCACACTCTTGAGGACAAATTGAAACAACCGGCTGAAAATCATTAAACAATGAAGTCGCCATCGAACATTTTTTATCCCACAAAGGGGGAAAAGTAAACATCGAGTAAACCTGAGAAGGGTGAAATCAAGGTCGAACGACTAAGAGATAAGGGTAAAGGAGTGTGTTACACAAGGGGAAGGTATTAGCACCCCACGCGCCCGTATTACTCTACGGTATCCACTCTTGTTATCTATCTTATGGGTGTGTTCAAACTATGCTTATTGTTTACTATACTACTGAAGGGAGAATGCATGCAAAAGAAAAGAGAAAATAATGTAGGAAAAATAAAAATTGTGCTCGTTCGGGCCCTACCCCAATGCCTACATATCCCTTTTAAGGAATCAGAGCACCCGTAGTCGGCTTCAAATGTTTTTGTTGGTTTGTATTTTTTAATGAACAATATTAGTTTCGCCTTCTTTCATAACTCGACCTTTGGAGATTTACGCGTTAGCACATAAGTGAATTAACATGTTCTTTTGAAAAGAGTTTGAAAGAAAAGCCCGAAGGCGCAAAAGAGTTTGCATTGGTTGATATTTTTTACCTTGAAGAAGGATTTGGAAGTTGTTAGATGTTTTAATATTTTTCAAAGAAAGAGAAAGTTTTTGTTTTAATACATGGATGCAAAAAGAAAAAAAGAAACATCTAAGGGAGACTAACCTAGATCTATCCCTAATGTTATCATACTATGATTAATCCTAAGGTTGAGCTTCAAAAGAAATCTCTACTCTATGTTGACATGCTTGGATAACAATCCTAATGTCTATCTCAAATCATCATCTATAGATAAATCAAGAAGTCCTAAAGGAGCATAGTAAGGGTCTATCACCTAAAACTATGTCTATCTCGAATCATCCTCTATAGTTGAATCGAGAGCTCCTAAGGGAACATACCGAGGGTACATCATCTCAAAACATGCACACAAAGATGAAATCAAACAAGCAAGCCAATAAGCTCAAGAGAGCTAGATCAAGAGAGCACATATAGGGAGATCCTATCTAGACTACCATTACCTAAGAAAGTCTAACAAAACTATCTTATAGGGAACATGCAATGAGAGCGAAGTCGTGATCTCAATTTCTAAATTGAGTGTCTCATCGATCAACAAGAAACAAACGAAAGCAATGAAATCCTATAGGGAGCATGCACTGAGAGGGAAGTCGTGATCTCAATTTCTAAATTGAGTGACTCATCGATCAACAAGAAAGTAAACAAACACAAGCCCAACACATATAGCAGATGAAGTGCGGAATGCCTGCTACAGGTCTTTAAACAGCGACTTCGAGCGCACGCTCTTTATTTCCTACTTATCATGATATCTAGAAAGCAGTAAAGTGAAAAATGAGATAAACAAGATAAAATACCAAACAGATATCAATCCGTAGAAAAGCCTATCAAAATAAAGAAACCCAATGATCTTCGCTAAAGCTTCACCAATAAAAAAAAGAGTCAGAAATCAAATGCTCGGAATAAGTATCGAAGCATCGTCGATGTGAAAATAAATCACAATCGAAATCTTAAGCGCATCCGCGTATCGTATAACAAAACTGCGTAAGACTCAAATCTCAACAAACATAGATAAATCGCAAGTCTCAAGTAACAAAATGATTACTAACACGGTCGATAATAGAAAATTCTAAACAAAATTCTACAAAGAGATTCTAGAAAAAATTCTATTAAACTCTATTATTCTTTTTTTGTTTTTCATATAAGAAAACTGAAAAATAAGAAGTGGGGTTCTACTCTAAATATATTCCTAAAACAATTTACTCTCTTATTGTTTTTATTATCTATTATTAAAAATTGAGAAAAAAAGAAAATTAAACTAAAAAAAACTAAGTAAAAACAAGAAGAGCCAGGGGTGTATTGCTGAGTTCAGGAGTATGGTGCAGTAAACTGGGCAGATAATAAGCCCAGGTCCAGAATCTCTTTGTTTTAGCCCAGGATCAACACTTTTGTGCAAGGCTGTGTGCTTCCAAAAAATCAACGGGCCTAAGCCTGAACAATCCAGAATCCCTTTTTGTTCACTATCTCAAGTTCCAAACAAGTTGAAATGGGCCTAAGGGTGTGAATTGAAATCAAGTCCATGCCATAGAGGCCCAAACAAATCCGCCAAGTCCCAACTCCAAGTCCCATTTGTGATTGTTCATCTAGTATCTTCTTTTCATTTTGCCTTATTTAGACACGACCCGCCTCTCCTAAAGCTCACGCTCCAATGGAAAATTTCTCTGCCGCATCGAAGGCGGCAAAGCTTTCTCTTTCTTCGTGTTTATCTCAAATCCGAACTCTGGCTCTTCATTATCCATAAAATTCCCAAACTAAATTTACCTTATGGCAATAAACCTAATTTATGAAGATGCACATCAAGTTACAATCAAATGTTAGGTCACACGATCAGTAAGGGGCTTTGGTTCTACTTGTCGTTCATATCTACGTTATAGCAAGAATTCGAAGAAAATGGGAGTTTTGAGTTATGAAGCTTACCAATCGGAGATGCTCTGATTTCTCTTCGAATGCGATGAAGAAGATCTGAAATCCAGAGATATCTCCTCCCCTTAGGTACACTTCTTCAGACTTTTCGTTCCCTATCTTCTTCTTCTTCTAGACTTTTCCGTCTTTTACAATTTTGCTATGCCTCTGTACGAGTATACTCCGCTTCCGTTTGTTATTTGCGCCATTCTTCCTATGCTAAGAGTGTGTCGTTCTTGCGCTGAAAGACTCGCGAGGTTGTTGTTATAGGTCATTCAGTGCTGAAGATCGATGATATTCACGGATCGATGCCGATGATGATTGTTGCATATGAGTAGGTGAAGATTGAAGATTACGATCCAATGCAGGAGATGAAGTGTCAAAGATGTTGATGGTAGCCTTTATTGCAGAAGCTTGAGAGTGGTTGAAGAACTATGAAGGTGATGAAGACAGAATATTGGGAGATATTTTTCTTAAGTTTTTAGTGATGAGGGTGAAGATGGAGAGTGAATGCAAAGAGAGGAAGAAGGGAGAATTTCAGAGGAATTTTCTGGTATTTTGGTTCTGCAAAACATTGGAGATTGATGATGATACGAGAAGATGGTGGAAAAAGGTCGAAGAAGATGCATAGATTGAAGGATGATAGATGGAAGAAGAGAGGAGAATCAAGAGTTTTTCTGGTTTTTCCGATTCTACAGAATGAATCCCTCCCCGATCTATCAAAGGTGAGATTTTCTCTTATAATTTTGTTATGGTTAGGAAGTTAGTTAGAGATGTCTATGAGCTGGAAAATTCTGTTATTCTATTTCCAATTTACAATTTCATTTCTTATTTCAGTTTCATCTGACTTTTGGATTATTTTATGGAATAGGCCTTGGTGTTGGTAGCATCCGCGAGTTAACTTGATATAGGGTAAGCCTTTAATAATTTGAAATTGGTTTATTTGGTTTGGTATAGTAGTAATTAAGTGAACCCTTTTTAGGCGCTTAACACATGATCCAAAAGAATATTGCCTCTTTAATTATTGCAGGTCTGGAAAATTGTTTTGGTTTTGGCTCCTGAACTGTCTTCAAACTCTCACCACCGCCTGGTACTGATTATTAAGGTTTCTAGAAACCTTATCTGATCTAAAATTCTGGTATGCTGCTCGACTGCAATAAATACTCAGATACAAACTTTAGCAGCATGGATGACTTGTCTTCTAATAGCAGTGAAGGAGTGTCAAACTCAGCAACTCGACCATCACTGAGCACCATAACTTGATCGTTCTTAATAACAGTAGGGATACGATGTGCAATGGTGAGCATAATGCAGGCTTTGAACTTTGTTAGAATAATCTTCTGGATAAGATTATCAGTGGAGGTGTCGACAGATGCTATCACTTTATCAAGTACAAGTATTTTTAACTGCTTCAATAGAACTCAACCAAGAGAAACAAGTTACTGTCGTCCTACACCCTAATTGTCTCCATTTCCCATAACATGTGTATCAAGCTTTTATCCTTTCTTTTTGATGATATTTCCTTATTTGCATTTGCAAATTCTTTCCTCAAATCTTGAATGAACGAGATGTAGTAATCCTTGTTACTTGAATCTTGAATGTAGCATCTCGTGATGCAATTGTATTTTGATGTCTACTGTGAAGCATGGAATGTAACTTTTGAAATTATAAATGATAATTAAAGTAAATCTTGACTCTTGAACTTTGTATGTTGACTTTTTGTAATGAAGCTTTTCCAAATGAATTTGCTAAAATAGTTCCCCTCCTTTGTATCTTTTGAATACTGAATATCAACCTTTTTCAATTTGTATTTCATGTGAATTCTCCAATCTTTCTTCAATATTGCTATAATTGAATGAATCACTAGATGAAGGCCTCAAAAAGATTTAAGAAGGACTTTGTCAAAAGTCAACCTTCCATTGTTGATTTTGACCAAAAATCAAAGTTTTGGCCAATCTTGCAAACTTGAGATGATTCAGTAATAACACCATGTGAACTCATATTCACTCTTTGCATGAAATCCACAATACAGATCTTGTAACTCAAGTAAAGGTGAACCAAACCTCAATTAATAATAGAAATTATGAGCGAAATCCTAATGAGATGAACCAGCATGATGGTAATAGTCAGCCTATAAGACCCTAGAATCCACTCGAGCAATGAGCAATATCCATTGGATGACGAGATTCATTGATGGACCCAAACTTTATAAGGAAATCTTTAGACTACCACATGATTAGAGAAATAAGCCCTAATTCCATGATCTTTGAGTCTTTAAGCCTTGAGTTGGAGCCAGACCCTTCCTTGAGGAAATTCCTCGACTCAGATGAAACTGGAAGCATAACAAGATGTCCATATGATAGAAACCCTAATTTCTCGAATTGACAAAACTGGGTGGAGATTGGCCTTATGGATTCGTGAAGAAGAGATTCTTAATAACCACAAACCACAACTCTAATTCCACTGCTCAAGGTTTGAAGATGAAATAAGCCTTTGTTGGATACAAATGCCTTGACCAGTGTAAAACCCTTATATTGCACAATCATTGAACTTTGAACCAAAGAGCTATATTGAATGAAATGTATGCCATGTTAGTGACCTAAAGATGCGAATGCGAATGAGCGCAAAAGTCTAAGTCAAAAGAAATTAGGAGGGCAAATTTTGGGGTGCAACAGTTGCCCCTATTTAATCACCTTCAACCTGAAAGTGAGATTGGCGCTAGCCTTTCGAACATTCAAGGTGGAAGAAGATTAAATACTTAAAAGAACCTGAAAATTTACGCTCCGAAGCCAGTCAAGTATTATTATATTTTTTTTTGTTTTTCTGTATTTTCTATATTTTTTTAATTTTTTTGGATTACAGTGGTTAGATGAGAAAATCTCTTGGATGTCAGGTCAAGGTTAGACATACACAAGAAAGAGACCGACCGAAGAAGGCTCTGATGAAGGAACACCAATCGAAGGTGAACTTACTGAGAAAAGAGATCAAACGAATGGGACTCCTGACAAATGATACCAACCAAAGGTGGATTTAAGGGTAAAGAAACCAGTCGAAGAGGAATCTTCACAAATGATACCAGCCGAAGGTGGATTTTAAGGGGAAAGGACGCCGATCAAGGGCGAACTTACAATGGAAAGATACTAGCCGAAGGGGACTCTTAACAAATGATACCACCCAAAGGTAGATTTTAAGGGCGCCAGCCAAAGGTGGACTTCAGGATAAAGAAACCAACCGAAGGGGAATCTTCATCAAGGAATACTATGCCGAAGGTAGATTCCTAAGAAAAGAACGCCGATCAAAGGCGAAATTTCAACCGAAAAGTGATCAACCAAAGGTGACTCTCAACAAAAGATACCAGCCGGAGGTGGATTTTATAGGCACCAGCCGAAGGTGGACTTTAGGATAAAGAAACCAACCGAAGGGGAATCTTTAACAATGAAAAGAGACCAGCCGAATGAGGCTCTTAACAAATGATACCAGCCGAAGGTGGATTTTAAGGGTGAAGAAACCATCCGAAGGGGAATCTTTAACAAGGAATACTATGCCGAAGGTAGATTCCTAAGAAAAGAACACCGATCAAAGGCGAACTTACAAGGGATAAAGATACGCATATCTGGTCAGAGTTAGACACACAAGAGAAAAATTGAGCATCAAGAAACAAATGTTTAGAGTTGATAGTGAACACAAGAACGAGACTGGCCGGAGAAAGCCCCAACAAGGAAGGACGCATTCGCCTAAACAAGGACGCCAGACAACTGGACTTTGAAGAGACACTGGAGGAATCTTAACATAAAAGGTTAGCTAAGCTGATGAGAGGAGGATCCGACTAACACGGATAAACCAAAACAAGGAACCCAGTAAGTAGGACCTTCAAAGAGCACCGATCGAAGGTGAACTCTACAAGAGAAAGAGACCGGTCAAAGCGGACTCTAACAAGGATTTCCAAAACACATTGGGCTTTTGATAGGTTGCAAATTCGCAAGAACTACAAAATCTCTCAGGCCAAAGGCGGGGTGTAATTCTTCAAGAGTGCCAATCATCTGAATTACAACACACCAAGTATGGATACTCATATACTTGAGAAGCGAGAAAGGCTATACACCGACTCTCACTCGCACTCTAATGACAAAGCAAACACGGGTAAAATAACCAAAAGCTTGCAAGGGCAAGTGTAAACCACAAACTTACTGGGGATTCCCATATGAATTGAACTTAAACATAATGTCGGTCGAAGGCGGACTTGTGATTAGAAAAAGAGACCAACTGTAGGGACTCTAAACAAAGGTTGCCAACACGCGTTGGGCTTTAAAAGTTTGCAAATACGCAAGAACTACCAAATCCCTCAGGCCAAAGGCGGGGTGTAATTCTTCAAGAGTGGCAATTATATGAATTACCACACACCAAGTATGGATACTCAAATACTTGAGAAGCAAGAAAGGCTATACATCGAATCTTACTCGCACTCTAACGACAAAGCAGACACGGGTAAAATAACCAAGGGCTTGCAAGGGCAAGTGTAAACCATAACTTATTGGGGAAATAGAGAAATACCAAATACCCGACTGGTGATGAATCAAAACAACTTCACTGGGGAAACATAATAGAATCATCATAGGCTTGTTATGGAGATAAATCAAATTTGAGCGCATAACAATCTGGTTACCACAGGTGAACATAATTGGCTTATACTCATGCATGTTTGAATTTTTTTAGCATAATGCTCCATACAATGGAAATGCTATGCGTTTTAGTAGATGTGATGTAATAATGCAATGTAATGATGCATGTTTAGTAATGCACTGGGGAAATCACATCGATAATCGGATGCTGGGAAGATCATGAACTTCCGAACGATTATTCTCGCACATCTGATCTTCTGTAGAGAAAAGGAAATATGAAATTCAATGGGGAACCGAGATTTGGAACCACCAACCCTAAAAACTCGATATCACCGAGGAAGAAATCCTAGGGAGAGTACTGCAAAAATAAATTGCAACTCATAAAAAAATATTTAAATCTGATCAAATTCCCAACTTCCTGGGGAACCAATTCTTTATCTTCTGTTAGAAAGAGGAGAGCTTCGCTGGGGATGGAAAATTTCTCGCCTAAAATTTCTTGACGAAGATAACTTCTACTAGGGAGTATATAAATTCTTAAATAAAAAGAATTCTACTTAGACCATATTGGGGATAACAACACCGGGGGGTAAAAATCTTCACCTGGGGAAGAACCAAACATCCTAGGACAGAAACTCAACTGCAGACATCTCAACAAAATCTTTTATCACCGGGGATAAAAGAGTTATGACTGGCACTCCTATGCACATCACGCTGGGGAGACATGACACTTGCTCCACTAAGGAAAGAAGAATAGCTCCACTGGAGAATAATAGGTACACCTTGCTTTGACAGGTTCTTGAAATTCGGCTTCGGATGGGACAAAGACTACCTCATACACCGGGGGGACAAGGCCTTTAGATGATAGCATCAATAATATCCGGTTGCACTGAGTGTAGCCATCTTTTCTAGATTCAAGCTGGCAAGAAGTTCTGTACTGGGGAGCAGAAATCATTCCATTGCGGATGATGGTCGTCCTCATGAGGATAAGAAACTATAATCCCTTGTAGGTAAACATAGGCCTCTTTAAGAACTGTGATATAGGCAAGCCGCATTGGAGAGAGAGGGAGTGCATCCCCACTGAGTAGGAGAATACATACTTTATGGGGAGAACAAGTGTGAACCTCACCGGGGAAGCTGTAGAATGTCAACTTCAAGGGGAGTATATCAATAATCTCCAACTGGTGAATAAAATGATTCTTCCTAGAAAACCTGGAAAGAAACAGACTGCCCTGAGAAAGATTGATACTCGGGCGAAAGTACACCTTTACTGG